TCAAGTGGGAACCTGTTGAATATGACACAGCAGGAAGGATTCGTCCAGTGAATTTCATTTTTTTTTTCAAGCTCCGTCCAGTAGTTTTCAGCGTAATGCTTCTCAGTGAAAGCCAAAGTCGTTTTCAACATGACCTCTCATGGAGGTCGATTCAACACAATACCTGCCAAACACTTGACATTCATTTACTGTTCTGGTAATGCATTTATTCCACTCATCTCTTTCACCATGTAGATTATAAAACGTGTGCATTGTTGAATCGCCTGTGTTTTGCAGGTGGAGATTGACATTTGACAAATCTCTGTAACATAGCCTTCAAACACATTGTTCTTTCTTGTGCCATCACCCTCCCTGTGTTTTAAAGTCTGCATGAAATTGACATAAAGAAGCTCTCCTTTGCAGCAGTCGCACAACAAGAACACATGCCCCCTGCCTGCTCCTGAAGCATTAAGTGTTGTATGAAATGCTAAATGTTGCCATGGCAGAGCAGCTGTTGAAGCCTCTTGAAAAGCTTGAAAACTGGAGAATTGTATACTTTGTGAAAATATTTTCTGTCAGCGTGTGCACAGGAAACCAAATAAGGTATTATTAACAAATTAATATCTGTCTTGCTGTTAAGCTGCTGGTTCTCCATCGCCCACAGACCTTGCTCTGTCATTGCTGGAGATTGCCTTGATAGATTGGGCTTGTCCAGTGGTTTAAGAGCTTCTTGTGAGCCCTGCAGTGGAGGACCAGCAGCTGTGCAGGGACTGGTGAGAATTAAGGGCCCATCTTCTTATATGTTCATGTTTACAGATCTATTATGTTGACTGAAAGACACCAAGCTTTAAAGCCTGTTAATGTAGCACCATGGGGGGGTGTCTCATCCCATTAATGGACTCTTCCTGTTATTTACTTGACACGCCTGTGTGATATTGATCCAGTGCTAATTACTCACAGAAGTCTGTGTAACAACTGAAATGAAATGATCTTATAAATCACCTGTATGGATGGCAGCTTGAAAGATGCTGTAATGTAGAAATGTCTGCCTGTATAGACTTTTAGGGACTGTTCATAAATAGGTAGCATGGGCCTACACCTAACTAGTTTGGTCCAGATCTGTGGACTCTTCAGTTAATTCTGAACCACATAAGTGTGAAAGTTCCCTCAGACCACTGTCCCGACCAATGGGTCAAAATTTAATCAAAGCTGATCTGAATTAAATTGAACTGTGATTCGCAGTGTGAAAACACTTTTTTCGGATACTTCAGTCTATCCAGAGGCGAAGTACAGTGGACTAAACATCAGGAGCACTGGGAAATTGTTGTTTTGGTCTGCCTTTAACTGTCAGCTTGACCGGCAATAATATAGTAAGCAGGAATGAGTTGACAGACCTCTCAAATCCACTTATCTGAGATATACCGGCGTAATCACATCTCACAGTCTCATAACAGCCAAAGATATTACAGCACCCTCTAAAATCTTTATAGCATCTGTGAACCCGCTTCTGAGAAAATTAGACAAGTCGCCCGTGAAATGGAAGACTGTGCTCCGAAGAAAAGGAAAGGTGGAGCAGATAGGGGGAGAATTAAGAAGAGAAAAGCTCCTGCCCCAGATGCAGCTAAATACTGCAAAAATAATAATGACTTTAGTTGTATAGCACTTGTTAACAATGTGACAAAGTTCTTGACTAAATCCATGGTTAAAAATTATATATATAAATTATTTACATATAAATTAAATTATATATAAATTAATTCAAATAAGTTACATGTTAACCAGGAAGGGACAATTTAGCATTCCTTGAAAACTCAATGTTCAACATAGAGTACTTCAGTCCCAAATGTATGTATTTTGTAATTTGGATTACTTTGCTCTCCAATTAACATAGTGACCACATTTATAACTAGTCTGGTAACCGTTACATCAACAAATACAGGGTAGGGTTAGCCTAGAGCTCTGGTGGTGGACAGGTCATCCTGGAAAGGGTTTCCTGGAATAGAGTCAAATTCCCTGCCTTAATTATTGTCCCTGTCTGTCCCTGGCAAAGTCTCAGTTTTCACCTCTGGCAATATAATGTTTGAACGAGGAGGATGTTAAATTGGTGCATTCTAACTAGTGTTGAGTACTGTGCCTGAACTTGGTGATGCTGGTAGTAATTCCATAATGATATTACAGAGGCAACTTAACAGATTTGAATTTATTTTCTCATTCAAATGACTACTCGCTCAGTGGACAACATGCTGATGTCATCCACAAACCAATGTCAAGTAGATGCCGCCCACATAGCTGGTGACGTTCTTTCATCATGCATAATAACTGAATAGTTGTTCAGACCTCTTATACCTCAAATGCAGGGGGCCTTTATTTGAGTCAGGCCTTTTACTTCTCACTTGATATGAGGCTTTATAGACTTTAAATGAAGCAAGCCTCATTTAACACTTCCTGTTATTTCAAATTAAGAGCCCTCTGGCATGACAGCGGACAGAAACCATTTTATTTCAGTTCAGTGCTATGATGGCATGTGTCATGTTAGTAGCATCTAATTTTGCCTCTAGCCATTAGCCTCAAGCAAAGACTATCAGAGAAAATTTAGGAGCCCCCCACCCCTTACGACTCAGGTGGCAGATGGGGCCCAGTTTGAATCCCATCCTTGCTCCTCAGCAGGGAATCCCCAAGTACTTGGTCTCTTCCTTTCTACACTTCTCGCCTTTTTACAAAAACATTGAGGAAACTCAATGACAATCTATCACAGAGAACAACAGGCTAAATCCAAGTGGATTATCTAAATCTCTGCATTATCATTAACTGATTCGTTTTTGGACCTTCCGTTTGGGATTGTTTAACTCTGGCAGGGTGTGCACTGGCAGACAAGATGCTGTGCTGCCTGACGTGCAGTATGATGGTGTCTATTGTTATATTGACAGAGTTGCATAGTTGCAGAACTGTGTGTTGGAGATACGACAAATCTGTCTTTGCTGTGCTAGTGAGGAGCAAGACTTCTCCCTCCATTTCCTCACTGTAGATCTCTTCACATCTCCTTCACAGATACATGAGCAGGAGAACAAGTGTAATCCAGATGAAAACAGAAAGACAATCTTGCTTCAAAACTATTGGACTCTCTAAGCTTTTAATGCCAGAAAGGGAAAACAAGCATTGCAACAGTGAGAGTTGTTATTGATGCTTCAGCGAGATTGTCTCTGTTCTCCCTCTGTTAATTTGTTTGAGTGCATGTGCAACCATTGGCTGGGGTTAGATGGAAGCTTTTAATAATGTTGTTGTCACACACTGGAACTGCTCTACAGTATCTGTGTGTGTTTGTGTGTTGATAGCATATAGGATCAAAAAAATCCTGGCACATGTGCATTCAAGCTCTAAAGAGGAAAAAGAGATAAAGGTCAAATCTGATCGTGTAGGAGCACATATCACACTTGAGTTTTCAGACATGACAGTATAGTGCTGTAGATCCATCTGCTCTGTTGAATTCACATGTTAAAAAGACCAGAAAGCCATTTAGTTGAGTCAGGAGCCAGCTCATGTTTGACTAAATTATTCATTTTGTTGCTTTTTCATTTGTCTTTTACACAGCGAACATGTAGGCATGTATATTTCATCGAGCTCATGCTACAGCTTTGCTCTGTAGCATAGAGTAAATCTACAGATCTCACACACACAGAAGCCAAACCCCTTACCATCACAAATGGCACTTTCTGTCTGCTCCTGCCTGACGATAGCTTTGCAATGTCTAATATAAGGAGTTTCTGAGGTGTTTGCATGTGAGCCAGCATTGGCATTGACATTAAGAATGTTTCATCCAAGTGTTAACTCCATCTAAAATAATGTCACAATGGGTATCGACCGATCCTGACTGCACTCGACTGGCACTCTAATGCAACCCAAGTGTGCACAATCCTGATTCAATGAAAAATCATTCCTTCAAAAAAGATAATACAATGTTTTTTAGTTTTTTTTCTCCAAGGTGAGTTTAAAAAACTGAGTGAAGTCTGGTTTTGTGTTTAGTCAGGGGGTGTGTGCCTGCGTGATTTTGAGGACAAGGCTAGTGATATGCATTTAACTTAGTGTGGATAGAAAAAAGCTTATTGTGTTTGTGGGTGGGTGGGTGTGGCTAAAGTCTGATATAATGTACCTGTTTTTATATAAAGTTTATGAATGTACCCCTCTGTCCATTTGCATGAGAAACACATTAGTGAGATACGCTTTGTACTTTATAATCAAGAAGCAATAGTTTTTTTCAGTGGATCCCTCTCACACTGTGCCACCAAATCCACTGCTACAAATAAAGCAGCCCCTATAGGATGTACTGTTTATTTTTAAATTCAATATATACTGTGTTTCCGTCTCAATATAAGCCACCTTGGCTCTCTTCAAAGGCACTATATAAATCCAAGTTTTTATTTTCATTATTATCAGGATGTCTTGAAATAATGAATATATACATATCACCAGCCTTATCAATTGATTTCTATATTGTTAAATGAGTTACACCTCCATGCAGGGTAACTGTTGTCTAGAAACCCTAACATCATCCCTGACTTATTTTATGCTGTGCTTTCATTTGTCCACTCATATTTACACACTCATTTTAGATGCATTTCATTAACCTCTGTCACCCCCAGCGTTCTGCAACCACCAGGGGTTTCCAGGTCAAAGGCCGCTGAGCCGTGTCAATGTTACCAATCTGTAATCCATGTGTCATCATACCAACTAATTACATGTGTAACTCCCATGAGGCCTCACTTACAGAGCATGAGGGTAATTATTACAGCACCTGTAAGAACGATCACAGCAAACAAATCGTTTGTTTCAGAACAGAGTTACCTACAGGTTGTAGTATTTCAAGATCAAAGCAATTTAAAGATACAATTTATGCTCCAAAAGGGACAAAAAGCAGTTACATCTATACAATAAGATACTTTTTGTATACTGTATTTGCTGCAACCACAACAAAAATTACAAATTTATCAAGAAGCACTTTTCTCTACAAAACAATTCACTTTTTTTGCAAAGAGAACCAAACAGAAAGCTGAATAAGGCATTACGGTACAGATTTCCATTCAGCAGAAAAACATTTATAAATAATGTATTTACAGGGATAATTGTAAACAAAAGGTCAGACACAGTCCAGACAGGAACTATTCATTTGTTTTGAAAATTATGAATGCTTTTACTAATATGAATAGCACTTCATGAAAATACATAGTTAAATAACATTCGACTCTACTAATTAATTACAAGTGAAGCTTAAAGATAAAACAGCTTAAGCACACGTAAAAAACACATTACCACTTAATATGCTGTTACATAACAATATTATACTAGATACAGTATATACTGTAGAGCTCTACCCTTTTTAAATGAACCTGCATCTCTGAAGGGGCGACATCACTGCCATCCTATGACTGATCTCATAAAATGTGCAAATAAATGTCCACAAAAGTGTCCAACAATCATCAGAGGAAAATTACCAGTTGACATGAATATTAATGCAACTTATCTCCATGGCAATTTGGGGTCATTCAGTCATGTCACCATAAGTTGAAACTACTGTGTCTGTTTTTCTTTCATTTGAATGTTTGATTGTACAAAAACGAACAAACGGAGCAACCAAACTGCTAGAGAAGTGAAATGGTGAGTCAGCTGAACCCCAGAGTTAATAGTGAATATACACTGGAGGTCCCAGTCAAACTGCTTAATCATGACTACTGTATTTTGATTTTATGTTTTATTTTACAAGCATCTTTAACGATGCAGCAAAATTTCATATAGAGTATTCATATAGAATTTGACCTCACAGACAGATCTGTAATATGTGCACGCCCTTTGTCTGTACCAGTCACAATATGCAGCCAGAAAGAATTAGGACAGAGATGCATATTTCATTGTGTTGCCTCTGTACTCTACAGTGCACTGGATGAGAAATTAAACACTTTGAGGTTGAAGTCCCAAATCAAATTCAACTTTAAAGCTGATATAAAAGCATTTTATATGGATTCAACAATGGTGAAAAAAGCTGCTTGTAATAATAAACCCGTATTATCTCTAGACTCTGATCTGTGGAGCATTATAGTGTCTTTAAGTGCATTGATTTGTTTTTTGGGGGCCTGATACTTCAATCTTTCGGTAAATTCTCACCTCAAGTGATGTAGTTTTCAGCCATTAGATGGTTTCAAAAAGGCTCTAAAAACCCACTGCATCCTCCAGTCCGCCTACTTCAGGGAATAAAAACAATTTTACCAGCTAAGTAACTACTAACTTATTTATTTAGCCGTAATTCTGGTGCTGATGCTCTGCCAGTCCTATACTGCAGCCATTCTCACCTCCTGCTGCGACAGGGATGTTCACTCAGTCATTCAGGTTTCCATCGAGTGAAAAACATGATCTGTGGGGCTGAGGTCAGGTGACTGACTCAACCAATCACAGGCCACTGTTTGGCTATAAACAGACTCAGGTGGCCTGGACTGTGTGTTTAAGATCAATGTCCTCCCTGTGCAATCTGATCATAGTGGGACTGTGTACTCTACGAGCCCTTCATTGTTCACCTAACATGGATGAAGACCTACACACAATGTTAAAGCTAAAGTTAATTAGTGTATAATTAATTAAAATTAGAATCGTCTTTTTGTTATGGTTGAGTGAGACCACGGAGTTGGCACTGCCCTGTTTCTACAGTAGCCCAGAATGGACAAACTAACACTGGCTCCAAAGAGGGTCTTCCATGTACTTATGTTGGCTGATGGTCTCTGTAGGTTCTCCAACACAGTTGTAATGGGAGGTGGTGAGGTACTGGAGGGAAACTCAGCTGTTCGCACTCTGCGGTGTCACTATTGGGAATCCACCTTCTTCTATTAATTCATTATTTGAACAAAGTAAAGCAAAATTAGTAAAAAAACGTATAACTCCAAATACTGTGTGTGTGTGTGCATGTGTGTGCTTTCTACACACTCTTAGATTGTATTTACATTCATATCCATTTCCTTATGTGCAGGCACACACGTTTGTGATCGTCCTGAAAGACAATCCATTAGGGTTTATGTCTCATGAATGCATGTTGGACACGGGCATTTCATTACATGAATTCAAACACGCAATCAATAATTTGTCTTCATGCCTGCTGTGTACATATCTGCAGGCTCATACTCCTGTAGTGGAAATCTGTGTGACCTCAGTGTGGAGGTCGTCATGATCTGTCCCCCTCGCCCTCTGACCCATGCCTAGTCAGGCCACCGGTCTCTCTGTCACTGCAGGAGCACAAACGGAGGCAGGCTCCCGTGTGCTGTTGCGCGCTCTGGAGAAGCTGCTCTGCTCCAGGCGTGTGCGATAGGGCAAGCAGAAGTCCCTGAAGCACCTTTTGAAGTTTTCGTCCAAGAAGGCGTACAGCACAGGGTTGAGGCTGCTGTTGGTGTAGCCCAGAGCAATGCACAAGTGCCAGCTGGCCACTACCAGGAGGTTCTTGTGGTCAATATCCACCATTGTCTTGACAATGATGAAGATGTGGATGGGGGTCCAGCAGATGATGAAGGCCGCCACGACTACCAGGACCATGCGGGTGATCCGCCGCAGGTTCCTGTCTTTCTCTTTGGAACCGGAGAGGATGCGGACGCTCTTGAGCCGAAGGATCATTAGACCGTAGCAGATGGTGATGACCATGACGGGTACGATGAAGGCGAAGATGAACACACATATTTTCATCACTGTGTCCCAGTACCACTCAGGTTTGGGAAATCTGATTGTGCAGGCGGTGGTTCCTGAGGATTTAAACAGTTAGAGGTTTAATAGAGAGCCATGTGGAGAAGCTAATTCAAGCTCAAATGTTTTCTCTGTTACTGATTGAAAACGTAGGTGCCAAAAACCCTGTTGGGAGAAGTGAAGTTTTTATACACTATTGACAGTCCTGCCACAGTAAAAGCCCCTCACCTTTATCCGTCACCTTGGTAACAGCAGCGATCATCACAGGTACTCCGACGGCGGAGGAGAGGATCCAGATGCAGACGTTGATAAGCTTGGCCTTGGCGGGCGTGCGGAAGTCTAGGGCCCTCACCGGATGACAAACAGCAATGTAGCGGTCCACGCTCATCATGGTGAGCGTGAAGATGCTGGTGAACATGTTGTAGTAGTCGATGGCGATGACCACTTTGCACAGCAGCTCCCCGAAGGGCCAAGTGCTCATCAGGTACTTGGCGCTTTGGAAGGGGAGTGTGCTGGTGGCAAGGGCATCGGCGAGAGCCAGGTTGAAGATGTAGATGTTGGTAGCTGTCTTCATTTTGGTGTACCTGTTTTTTTGGAAGAGAAAACAACTGAACTGGGCTTTTCTGATTGATTCTTTCTCACATTTGACTAGAGCTGTTGATAGTTGGAGGGAACTGAGTTTATTTCAAGGTCTGCTGGCTGCTGTGTGCCAAAGAAGAAGCCTTGAGTTTCACGAAGCTATTTCAAGGTTAGAAGCCAATTTATTATTTGATCTAATCAGTTTCCCGTCTCAAACCAATTATTCACCATTTCCCCATGATATGATATTGAGATTGAAAGAGCTTTTTAGATGATTAATGTTTTTATTGCACTACACTGAATGCGTGAGGGTTCCTATCCTCTGCCAAAGTGGCTGTAAGCCTCCATTAAACTGCACTTATATCTAATGAATCAATTCCAACTAAAAAATCCTACAAAACCCCTCCTTAATTCCAGATTCACTCAATTTTTTTTTCCTTTTGCATCCAGCCTTGTCTGAATGCCAGCTGAACAGTTGTCTGTCTGTTTGAAGATGGTTTCCTCCACATCCATGCACAGTGGTCGGACACATTTAATTAAACTGCAGCAACAGGCTGTTAAAAGGATGAGGAAAGACAAAGGGATGTTTTTATAGTTTCTCCTAATCCTCCACATGAAGAGATTATTACACGCCATGCACGGATCTTTACCGGGCAAGAGTGAGGCCATAATGTCTTTTTATATTCACTTACTGTTTGATTGTTGGGAAATTATTCTTAAACGCATCAATCCAGGAATTAAAGAGGCAGCTCAGGGTGATGATGACAGTTGAGGTTCAACCGTTTCCTCACTACTGATTTATCAGCATCAAACCGTCAAGACACAAATCATCAATATATTTACACATGATTAATTTGTTCATGCCATCTTTTTGTAACACAAGTCCATCATCTGAGTTTACTACATCATTCCTGACAGGTGCAATGAAGGAGGCTAATTTCAAGCTGGAGAGCTGCACCGCCCTCCTCTCAAATGTGTAGGAGGTGTGTGCGTGCGTGTGTGTGTGTGTGTGGGGGGG